ACAAAATTAAAAATAGGCAGAGGCCAGTCTGATCTAAAGAGTAAGTTCTAAGACAGCCAAGGCGATACAGAGAAACCCTGTCTCAAAAAACAAACATTAATATGTATAAGGGACGCAGTGATATTAAAGAGGCATATTTTGGTTTGGGTTGGGGATTTTGTCTTTTTCTGTGTGTTTTGGGGGACACTTTAGTTTTTTTTCAAGATAGTCTTACTATGTAGCTCTGACTGTTTAGAACTCATCTTGTAGGCAGGGCTTGAACTCAAAGAGATCCACCTGCTTCTGCCTCACAGTGCTGGGATTAAAAGCTTGTGCCACTGTGTTTGGCAGTGAAGAAGCATATTATGAACTACTTGAATGATTTCAAGATCAGGCAATCAGTCAGTTTTCCAAAAAGCCTTCTATAGACCACTAATTTTAACACCATTCTTGTGTACTATTTCTGTATTGTCTGTGAATACTTGCTGCTTTTGAGATGCCAGGAAAGCCTAATGACAGTAATAAAAACTCAAAGATTGAACTTTGAAGGTTCCCAAGTTCTATTTAAATATATTCATTTTATGTGTGTGTGTATATACATACCTATATACACACATACCCATATATTCATGTATTACTTGCCATTTTTGGATCAATATCCCACCCCTTTGAAATACATTCACACCCTTTTGACACTACAATACAATCTCCAGCAAGAACTGCATAATCAAGTTATAGGAGAGAGAAGTTCAGTGTCCTGTGCTGAGCCGACACGTGCAGCTGGGAACCACCGGTCAGACACTCTGAGTGCTGCCCTTCAGAAGAGTCGCTGGTGGCATTCCAGCTGCTGTATGATGGGAAAAAAAATCATTTCTTTCTTTCTGTTTTAAATTGTTCCCTACTCTATTCACCAGTATTTGCTCAGGCTACGACAAAATATCTGACAAGGTCAACTCAAAGGGAATGAAGGTTTATTTTGTGATTTCAGTTGATGGTGACTGTCTTAAGGTTTCTTCTGCTGTGAAGAGACACCATGACCCTTTATAAGACGGCAGCCCTCGTAAAGGAAAATGCTTAACCAGGGCTGCCTAACATTGCAGAGGGTTAGTCCATTATTGTCATGGCGGGAATGTGGCGGCACGCAGGCAGACACGGTGTGCTGGAGAGGTAGCTGAGAGTTCTCTATCCTGGTCTTTAGGCAGCCGGAAGAGCGACACTGGGCCCGGCTTGAGCATTTGAAACCTATAAGCCCAACCCCAGTGACACCCTTCCTCCAGCAAAGCCATGCCGCTAACAATGCCACTCCCTGTGGACCTTTGGGGGCCATTTTCACTCACCATAGTTACTGTGCTCCATTTTTTTCTAGGCCTGTACATCATGAACAGACATCATGGTGAGGAACATTTAGAACAGCAGAGTGGCTCACCTTATGGCAAATGGAGAAGGGGCCCAGGTTCAAGTTACGGATACTCAGGGTGCACACTGCTGTCACTCTGCAGTCTGCTTTCCCACCTCCAAACAGTCTGTACAACACTCACGACACAGTCACCTCG